ACAGTGGTACTGTTACTCAATTGTGACTCAATTCTTTTCCGCAGGACTCAGCCCTCTGGGTGAATACTGACAATCTGGATGGGGGATGCTTTCGGGCAGGAGCACAAGAGGAGGAAGGGAGTTTAGGGTATTTGCAAGATAGATGAAGGATCATGGAGCTGGTTGGAGATGGTGGTTAAGGAAAGCAAAACAAAGGAGGGAGCTAATGAATCCAAAATAGAAAGATCCCTGAGCTGGAGGTCTGCACCAGGCTAAAAAGACTGAGCAAGGGAGTGGTTAGATCACTGTATTTTTTATTTTTCACTGTACTTTTAAAAAAGTTTTCTTGAACAGGCCAGTTGGAAGATGAAAGTGTGGGGTGTCTAAACTCATGATTCAGAGGTGATGCAGTTGAGGTTGGTGGATAAGGTCCAGCTGTGTCCACAGCTTTGTGGGAGGGAATGAGAGGGAAAGATCACAGGACCAGGGAAGGGAGGAATCAGAATGAGGGACGGGTACACAGCAGGCGAGTGCTATTCTTTATAAGGCCTGCTTCCAAGCTGGGCCCTTGGCTGACATCTGGAAACTTGGATTTCAGGAGGGATCCCACCATTCCCAGAACTGATAAAAGTGGCTCACTATGCCTAAACTGTTTGTAACCAACAATGTGGTTTACTTGTGCATTACTTCTGGGAGTCTGGGATTTTGGTCTGTGCCAAGCAGGGGGTGCCTACATAACAAGCCCTACATCGCAACCCTGGGAAGGGAGTCTCTAATGAGCTTCCCTGGTACACAACATCCTACATGTTGTAACAACTCATTGTTGGGGGAATGAAGGACAATTTGTGTGACTCCTTTCAAAGTCCCCTCTGAAAGTTGGAGCCTGGTTTCTCCCAGACTTTGCCTATTCATCTTTTCCCTTTGCCAAATTTGCTGTTATCTTTTTGATGTTAAGAAATCATAGCCATGAGTATGGTTATATTGGGGGCTCCCAACAAAGAAGCTAAAGTCATAGAAGTGTAGAAGACGAAGGCAGGTATCAAGTTTTTCAAGATGATGGGCAGTAGATGATCAAATCAGGAGAGAGGATCACACGAGCCTCAAGAGAGTAACAGGTTTTACCAGGAGGGGAGGAAGCAAGGACACCAAGCTCACATTTGGAACAGGTTCGTACGCCAAGAAATACTCCAGTGCTACCACTGGGACAATGGTGGTGGGAGCGGATTAACCCTGAATCTGCTCTACTGTGTAACATCTATGTCTACACTGACAGTACATCAGGGTTTTCTGGTACTTTATGATTAGCAATTAATTACCTGCAGTAGCACACTGGTGTGGAGTGGCACTATAGCTGGGCACTCTTTCACCATACTCTAAGTCCTCAAAAAGTGTTAAAACTGTTCCTCTCACCCACTCTAGCTCTGGCTTGTCTTGTGGAGGAAAAGACTTGCCAGCATTATTTTAACAGCCAAAAGCTAGAAATTACCCAAATGTGGCATCAACAGAATGGATAAATTGTGGTCTGTTAACACAATGAAATACTATACTGCAATAAGGCCTGCAGCCAAATGCAACAATATGGTTGACAATGTTGAGCAAAGAAGCTAAGCACAAAAAAGTATATATAATTCCACTTAAAGAACAGACAAGTGAAAGCAATCTATGCTGTTAGAAGTCAGGATAGTAGTTATCCTAGAGCATGCAGGGGGCTACTGGAAATTGTGTGTGTGGGGGGTTTCTGGGGGTACTGTTAATATTGATTCTGATCTGGGTGCTTGTTACATAGGTACTGTGATATGCGTACTTTTCTGTATACATATTATATTTCAAAACAAAATGGGGCTGTTTAATATATATGAAAAAAGCAAGTTTCACAACAGTACATATACCGTGAATCCATTTTGGTTGACAAGCACACACCTGTACAGAACGCCAGGCAGGATATACACTCAAATAGTTAGGTCTGGGTGGTGAAACTGTAGATGATTTTTTTCTTTTTAAAACTTTATTGGGAAGCAGCCATGGTTATTGGTTACACATTGCTTTCAGGCTACAATGGCATAGTTGACTCTTTTAGGGAGGGTGCAGCTCACAGAGGCCCATGTGGAGATCGAACCGGCAATCTTGGTGTTATCAGCATCACGTTCTAACCAACTGAACTAACTGGTCACCCCCTTTCTTCTTTTATGTTTTTAAAAACCATCTTCAGTACTGCCCATATTGTTTTTACAGTGTATTACTTTTACAAAAACAAAACAAAACTATACCTAATACCATCAACTGCAACCTGTAAGACTCAGCGCTCACTTTGGGACAAAGAAATGCAATCAAACACTGGGAATGGAGCAAGGGATAACCATCACCCAACCAACGGATAAAGAAAAAATTTACAGAACCATTTCGGCACAAGCAAACCCCTGAGTTGCAATGCTGGGATTTGCATTCTCATCAGCAATCCTTCATGAGGCTAACACCCACGGATTATCAGGATTAGGTGAGTGCCAAGATTACAGAAGCACACTCTGGATTTCTAGTAAACATGTCCCTGTCCTCTGTACTGGGATGGCTGCAAAGCATTTACTGGAATTCATGATGATCTTGCCCGGGCCCAGGCTTCTCACACCCCCTGAGGGCTGGCACTCTGCTGTCTCTCTTACTCCAAGGCTGCTCTTCAAGTCTGGAGGCAAAGGCAGGACACTCTGGGTTATGGGCTCCTTGCTGGCTGCTCTCGGTTGTTTCTGTGCACCTAAAGTATGAGTCACCCTAAAAAAAACCTCATTATTGAACAGAAATATGCTTTGGTCTCACAGAGCTGCTTTGTTTCTGTATAAACCACAACATTGGACGACAGTACATTTTGAAGCATTTCCTTAAAACCAACATTCATTATGAACTGGAATCAGATTCAGGTCTATTTTGATATGTTTATGAACTAAACCTAGGAACATTTGTATCAGTCAGCCAAGTCTGTTAAATAGGAACCCAGCTGGAACGTAAAGGACAGCCGTAGCACTGGCTCACGGCTCGGCACCATCACCGAGAACAGAAACCACACTTGATTCATAGTCTCACCACGTGTTCCTGGAGCCGGAGTTATAAATGTCTCCAAACCACAAACTTGCTTTTACTAACACTGACTCTGAAAAACAGCATAAGGACCTTTGCATCACTCGTCCTCAGGAGGCTGGGATTATCCCAAGAGCAGTGACTGGGACCCACACCTCCAGCTTCTTTGTGCACATAGGCTGGCTGGCTGCCGCTGGCCTCTCGGAGCATCTGCTACTCAAAGCTACACTCTCCCTTACTTCCCTCACTGGACCAACTCCTACTCAGGGGATATCTCTTCCAAGGAATTGTCCCTGTCTCCATCTTGGGAGAAGTTAAGGCAGCCTGCTCTGAGCAAATCCCCATTTAGCTTCCTGAGGTTCTGGGATAAATGGTGCTACTTTACTTCCCTGAGTTTGATTCCAATTATACTAATACTTATCATCTTTAAAGAACATAGTCCTAACCTAAGCAAATTGGTGACCTCTGAGCTCCTTTAAGAAGAGATTGCTCACTTTGATTTACCTTCTATGGTGACACTCCCCAGTCAGTTTAAATCAGCTTATAGTCTCTAAACTAACAGAACAGAGAAATCCTGCAACACTGAATCCAGACATGCTTAGATCTGAGCTATTAACACAGGAGTTTGCAGAAGGAACAGCTTCTCTGTCAGGCCTCTAACCCAGAGGCAGGGACAACAGCCATGTAAAACTGAGACACAGACACAACACACACTCACTTCCTGTATGCTAGGAATAAAACACTCAGTCTCAGTATGCAAAGCAAACCCTGGAGGAAACTTAAGGCTCAATCTCTGTTCCCCAGGATTCTGTCCTGTAGAAATCCCCCTCCTGCCACTTAGCTCTTTCCCTGTCTTCATGTCCCAGTCACAGCCTGGATATATTGGAGTTGGAAGGATGGGGCGACAAAAAAATACTCCTACTGAAGAAATGACACCAAGGCCCTTCAAGGAGGGCGCTACATGAGATGAACCAGCCTTGATGCTTTAAAACGGGCTTTCTAAGCCTGGCCAGTCAGAACTATCTGTGGGACTTAGGCTGATTCCCAGGCTCAGCTGCAGAACTTCAGAATCAGACTCACTAGATGTGGAGAGTGAGAATCTGTACTTTAAAAACGCTCCTCAGATGACTGATAAGAGGCTTGTGAACCACTAAGAGAGAACTGGATGATGAAGCAGTAACTCCTACCGTGCTAATGGGTTTCCAAAATGTTGACAGTGCTACTAGAAGTAAGGTCCCTTTATACCTGTCCTACGTAAAGTTAAGTTTAGTGTTTTTAAAAACGAGGGACAGGGGAATTAAGTCCCCACTCTTTCCATGTGGAGTATGTTCAGTGAGTATTTCTCAATGTGGAAGGGCCACTGCTACACTTTGGTCTGGATAACTGATTACATGGCACTGTCAGGCACAGTGTAGGACATTTACCATCCCTGAGCCTTATTCTCAAATACCAGTGGTGGTCCCTAGTCATTGTGACAACCAAAAACACATCCCCTCACATTCCTAAACGCTCCTAGGATGTCAGTTCAACCCGTAATTAAGAGCCACTGAGCTAGATTAACATTCCTGACCTCTCTCCCTACCCCTCGAATTAAGTTCTGTTTTGGAGGGAGACATGGTCCATCTAATAGGTGAACTGAGGACGAGTCTGTCTTTCCCTCGCTCCTCTTTTGGACCTGCCTGCCCACAGAGGGCACATTCTAGCCTGAGGTTTCCCACTTGGCTGTCTCTTCATGTCACAGATTTTAAATTTGGTGTGGTGTGCTCTCTAGAGGGGGAGACAGGGCTTTCCACCTTTACCTAAACACACATAACAATAAATAAATCTTAGAAAAAGAGAAATTAATTTGGTTATTTTAGGGAATATAAACATGACCATAATTTCGCCTGACATTTCAAAGATGCCTTTCATTATGTTTCTTTCTAAGAGAATATTACTATTTAAAGAGAAAGAACTTTGACGAACATTTTTTATTGAAGTGTTTTATTCTCTCCCAGAATAAAAACCTTGCTTTAATATTGTAAGGTGCACTGCAGGTATGCCATGCTGCCAGTTAGTATTGGGGCACCAAATGCCCTAAGTCATGTGACCCAGAGGGCTCGGGAAATGCGTGAATTCATACTTTCAGAGCATGTAGAACTAGTATTTACAGTTTTTCTTCTTGAAATCAGCCCAGGACATCTCAAACAGTCTACACAGGAATAGTCATATCACTTGCTTTGATGTTCAGAATGGCTCAGAAATGTGTTGAGCATCATGATTTGTGTGTCCTCTAAAAGGTTTGGTTAACATGCAAGCAAAGAGTATTAAACAATATTATCTAAATTATGGCTGCCCAGTACTGAAATGAATGAAACCAAATTACAAAACATTTTCTTGTAGAGCTATACAAAAGATATAAAATTAAAATTAGAAATATCAACCATCTTTAAATATTCCAATTCTCCCACAGTGCAGCTTTCCATATCTTTATCACTACTGAATAGTTTAAGGAGAAAGTTAACAAAAATCAAGAGATAAAAATACTTAAATCTTTGGATCCCTTTATTCCATGGCCTTCATAAAAACACAAAAGTGGCCAGACTTTTTTTTCACTATAGCTTAAAATATCAAAAAGATTTACTAGTAATTTATAATTAGCAATGAACTCTATACTCAGTCACCTGTGGGTCACAGGCCCAAGGACCAGTGTTATCTCATAGGTTACCAAAATAATTTCTAACACTCTGAATCCTCCTGAAATATAATGGAATGAGTCAACTTATCACTACAAAATTCTAGGCATATCAGAGAGAACGGGTTAACTGATGCCTAGTTTTAAGTCTTAAAGGGCGGGGGGTGGGGGGTGTAACTTATTTGAAAATACAGCTAAGTACATTCTTATCTATGATCATTTACATTTATATACTGAAAATATTATTTGGACAAATCCTGTGATATGCCATATACTACAAAATGAAGTTCTTATAATGAGCATGAGTAATTTATCCTTTTTAGATAATGAAAGAATGTATCAAATCTTCATCTGTGTTCCAGACATTAAAAAAAAAAAATCTGAACCCTGGAAAGCTATGAATAAAAGACCCACCCATAGCTCTGCTCCTTAGCACATCAACTTCTGCAAGGACACAGTATGTTTGCTGACTTTAAAATGTTTATTCTTTAAAAAATTAGTTGCTTTTTATACAGCTATACAAAGTTCTTAATGTTTCTTTGGCAATGGAATATAATGGAATTTTACAACTATATAAAAAAGTTACCTTTGCCTAAGAAACAGTATTTACTGTGTATACATAGTTGACTGACAAAATTCTCTAACATCCAGCATCCTAACTAACGAAATAAGCTACCTCAAAAGGGATATTACAGGATTTCCAAAAAGAAAGAAAGGGTGAGAGAGACAGACAGACAGACAGACAGACAGACACACACACACACACACACACACACACACCCTCTCCTGTGGCTCAAAACACAGTATCACGGCCCTATCTGCAGGCAACTTACAATAATTGCCAAATACAATTTAGTGATAAGAAAAATCCTCTCAGTGATGAAAAAATACTTATAAGTCTCATTGAAGTACTTACTGCTTTACTTTAACTATACATAAGAAATTACTTAACCTTCTGCTATTCCAAATATATTTAATGCTCATTTTTGAAGATGAGCCATCCCCCCACCCCCAATATAACTGCATTGTATCTTTGAAATTAAGCAGAAAAACAAACAAACAAAAAAACCCAGTGCTGGTGACAAATATACAGCGAATTCACTTCTTCTTTCTTGGTAAAGACTGAAAGCAATTCTCAGGACCATGAAAAGCTAGAAATTCACCTATTTTCAAAGACTTGTTTGTAGACTACGCAGAAACTTTGTTGTCTTTCTAAAAAGGAAAAAAAAATTAGTTTATGTTTCAAATTATTGGTTAATTGATAAGTTCTAACTTCCTTAAGTACATTTCCTATCGCCTTTACACAGACCCTCCTTCTACTTTCATGGACAAATCTGTACCACTGATTTCTAGCAAACACGTTTTACAACTTCCACACCCGGCAGAAGCTCGTTATTCTGTTAACTGCATTTTTCTAGTTAGTAGAGTTTAAAACAGTGGGCTGGTCCCACCAAGAACGTCCCACCCTACCCCAATATACAGGCGAACCCCACTATCTTTGATTGCCATCCTAATAATCTTTAAAATCAATGATAGAACTTCATCAAACCTTCAACATACTAGTTAAACTCATTAAATACAACCAACATACTTTGGAAGATTAATAAAATCCCTAAGTCTTTGATGTCATTATTAATTAATAAAGTAGCTAGACAGTAAAACAGATTTTCTCTCCAAAGTTTTATGGCATGATTTAGAAATTCATTTTAAAGGATAACTTTTAAATTTGAAATCAGTTCTGAAAATCACAGAGGTGACTGGGAGATTTTACCAAGTAATGAGGGAGAAAGCAGTAAAAATCTCAAGGAGTCTCTAGCTTTCCAGTTGAGACTAACCCTCAGCTAAAGGCCTGCACACAGCATCAGAGCCGGGGGCTTCTATTTTCCTCAGGACTAGTTGTTACCACACACCTGATTTTTTTCTGCTGATTCTCACCATTAGAAATACACATTTCTATGTTGAAGACTGAACTTTACCTGTGTATACAACACCAATAACATTTATACAATGTTATTAAATTGGAATACATATGGCATGGTGTAAGTTGGTGCTCAAAGAAATAGGCTGAATATGATCCTGCTGTCTCCCACCAAGGCCAACCTTCACATGCCCTGATTTTTTTTTTTTTAACCGTTCAGAAGCTGTTCAGTCCAGGCCTTTTAGGGTCCAAAAGCTGTGGTTTTCTGAAAGGTTAAAAAAAAAAGGGCAAAAAAGAAATGGAGAGAGGGAAAGAGACAGAGAGAAGGGAGAAGAGAGGGGGGAGACAGCGGTAGAGGGAAAGAGAGAAAAGAAAAGGGTGAAAGGGAGAGAGAGAACCATGCTGAGATTATTCAGATACCTCATTGTCTCTGGAGAAACACAGACTTAGGTGGAAAGCAATCTGTCTTACCCACCCTGGTGGCTTAACCTCTTAGCAGCACCATATAAAATAGGAGCTGGTTGCCCTCTTATTATCCTGGCCTGATCTCCTCCCTGCCAAAAAAGAAAGAACCATAGGACCAAGCTCAACACAAGTTTATGATTCTAACATTATCCTTAAGGAAAACTGGGCTGGAAGTAAAAAAGAGTGAGTTTTGGCTTTATTAGCTTGTACCTAGTTCAAGAGTTAACCTCTCTGGGTCCTTGGTTTCCTAACTATGTATTGGGGGTAGGGTGGGAGAGAAGTTCTAGTTTGGCTAATATTTTTAAGGAGTACTAAAAATAAATGATCCCATCTTACCCATGTTTTCATTAAACAACCAGATTACCTATGTTCACCTCAAAACTGTAATGATTCATGCCAATAGAGCACAAAGAACAAAGCCAACCATTACACAAAGGCTGCTGCAAATGTCATTGACATCCACCTCTGAGAGGTATAGATGATGTCTCAGAAATGAGCTTAACCCCTGAAAGTAAATCTTTATGTAACAGTGATCACTTGTTATGGCTACCTTTAAATGTGCCAGATATGATTTAGAAGGCATAGCCTCCTGAGAAAGTCAGGGTTCTCATGGCAGACAGAAGGGTTATTAAGCTTTGGAATGGACATTCAAGGACTAACCACACTGATGAATTGGTGTCCTCACTGAAGGCTAAAGTAGTGTATTCCTATCGACATGCTAAGGACTTAACTTACTTCAAGCCCATCTGGCTCCATGTTGAGCAAGGTGTTTTGGTGGAAAGAAAAGTAGAATATATATTTACTAATGCCAAGAGGCTCCCATCTAGCTGGCAATACAGAACAAAATAAAACATGAAATAGGGAAAATGAACGTATTTAAAATGTGTGCTGGTGAAAGCAGATACCACAGAAGGTAAGAAACAGAAGAAATCAGCGGAGGAAGGAAGAGAAGTTTCCGAGGACAGAGCAAACCCTGGGCAAGGCTGTAAAGGGTCAGTGAAAGGGAGGCCAGCCTGACTTTTAGCTATGTCAGACTTCCCACTGGACTATAAACACCAAGAAGGCTGGGATTGCATCTGTTTTGCTTATCACCAATGTCGGAATAAAGCTTGGCATATATGAAAAATTCAATATATTTGGTCAATGAATGAGGTCAGAGTTGGAATCAAGCACAGTGTATATAAGAAGTGACTATGAGTCAACTTGCTTGAACCAGGTAAGTTAAAGGGTGATGAGAAATGGGGATGGCTATATCAAGTGGGACCCTCACAGTAAGAAGAGGAGGCAGTGCAATGTCACATTAGAACCTTTTAACCACCAGGGCAATGCCCAAGGGTCCAGTGAATCTATCACTCCTTGAAACATCCAAGCACAGGTTGGATTACCTGGTTAGGGATACACTTGCAGATAAAGACTCATGCAGACAACCTCTACAATGCATTCTAATTCTGTAATATATGTGATAGGTGTTTCAGCTAACAGCTTAAAATGACTAACAGTGAGACAAGGCTTCAAAAAAATGTTTGCATTAATAAAGTGCATACACTGGTTACTCAAAGATCAGATAAAGTGAAGTAACAGTTCAGTCTTATACAGACAACATAACAGTTATTTTTTTCAAATATCTGAAAAATTATGAAGAAGAGTACACATATTCTGTGTTTACAAAGGTAAACTAATAGTTTGAAGATAAAGGGAAAAAGATTTTGACCCAAATTGTGAGCATGTCTGTGAAATTCATATAATCAGAGCCCCTGGGATGATATGCATGTTCTCAGGAAGAGTAAGCCCCAGCCCCTGTAAGGGATACTACAGAAGACATTTACAGGTTGGCCAGGAGGTCAGACCTCTCAGATGCCTTCCAACTCTGACTTGAATGATCTCTAAAAGTTGTATCTGAGATAAAACTATGCAACTCACTTTCCACAAATGTCGAAACAGAGAGCCTAAAAGGTTTAACGACTCAATTGAGGTCATACAAGCAACAATTACTACAATTCTCATTGGGATCCAAGTCTAATTTAAATGTATTTTTTCTCAAACTAAGTTGACTCAATGTAGTCTTCAACAAGTTGTCATAGGTTCTTTAACAGGTAGCTGATATGTCTAAAGTGAGGCAAAGCGAGGCTGAAGCTCTGAACACCAATGAGTGGGTTCCTGGGGGTAGTGGGCAAGGACATGACAAAGGGAAAAATGTGGTGATGTGGAAACGCACCATGATTATTGATACCCCCACTTCCTCAGAGACAGAAAGAACGGTATACCATTAGCCAATGCAAACACTGGGAGGACGCTGAGATGATGGGAAGGCAGGAAGATGATGAGGTCATTCTGAGGAAGGTTAAGTTGATCACAGGACACAAAGCAGGTGAAGATAGAGAAATGCAGGTGGAAGTATACAGGTCCAAGCTGAAAAACTGACCAGAAGCTATGAATTGATAAGCTCACAGAAGGAAGGGGGAAGAAGAGGGGAGAGAAGGAGAGTGAAGAGGGGAAGGAGGGAGGGAGAGAAAAAGAGAGAAAGTTTGAGTGCACGCAGGTATGCTTGAGCATATGCAAGAGTGCAAACACAAGCATGAATGCGTCCAAGAAACAGGAAACTGAATGTTCCAGGCAGAAGGAATGGGTAAAAAGGTACTGAGATAGGAATAAGCTTGTTACTAAACAAGAGCAAGAAGGTCCACATATCTGTGGCAGAATGAATGAAGAACAGGGGAGTCCCACTGGCAACAAGCGCTAGAGACAGCACTAGACTTCTCACTTAGAGGAGGAGGCAGATCATGAGCTGCCTTATAGGCTGTGTTGAGGAACATGTGATATGATATATATGTGTGTGTGTGTGTGTGTGTGTGTGTGTGTATATCTCTCTCTCTATCAATCAATCAAGAGTATTAAAAAAACTAGGAAGAAAGACTCTAAGTTGGGTGGGTGGTCATCAGTATCAAATATTGCAGAGAAGTTAAGGGCAAATACTTGTGAAAAGGCTACTGAATTCTGTAAGCAAAACAAAAAATATCATTGGCAAGAGCAATAAAGAGCAGTGAAGGTGATAAACAAAAGGCATTTTCTTGTTTCTAAGACCCAGTTTCCCAGCTGGAATGGCAATTTTACAAGTCAGAAGCCTGCAGCTCCATCAGGCCACCACGGCTGGACAGTCTGAGCTAATGACTTGAGGCTAATTTTTAGCAATCTTGGCTATGATGAGACAATATCAAAGGCATCAAAATTAACAGACCAGACCCAAAAGCCACTGACACTGATCCTTCAAGAGGAATCTCAACAGTGGCCGGTTTTAAATATTGGACAATGAAATTGCTGCCAGCAGATCTTTTTGTTTCTAGCTGCCCTTTGCAATTCCAGGCAGACCTCTTTACAAGGGGATTTTGATCCTTTCTGTGATTATATATACCTTCCTCTCCACTTTCCCTGAAAAATCAATAAACTAGGATACTGACATTGACTTAATTTACAGACTCCTTTAAATAATACATATAAACTAGAGCTAAACAATTTTCTAGCAGCAGTTTCCAAATGTCAACATATCTTAAGATTTTAAAGACCATTGAAAAATAGAAAACCAAGGAAAATGTAGCTGAGTTTTCCACAAAACTAATTAAGAGCACTGACTTGGGAACAACTTTACTAGGTTCAAGACCCAGTATCATCACTTACTAGCTGACCTAGGACAAGTTATTTAATGTCTATACCTATTTCCTCATTTGTAAAATGGGGATTAAAAAAAGAACCTACACCACAAAGTTGCTGTGAGGTTTAACTGAGCTTGTATGTGAAAAACATTTAGAACAATATCAAGTACACGAAAAATACTATATAAATTTTATTTAGCTGCTATTAAATGTACCGGTTTGCTTTCCATTCTGAAGTTGTCCCTTCGAGACTCTTTTGGTATTAAAGCATACTTGGTAATCTGAAATAAAGGTGGTATTACATAATTTTTTTTTTTGGATAATGCTTTTAGTGATCCCCTGTGTCTCCAACAACAAAAAATAATTTTTAAAGAAACAGAAAAATAAATAATCCTAAGACAATCTCTAATAGTTTTTGTGGGAAAATTTTACCAGTCCATGAAATCTAAAACCATGGTTGAATAATAAAGACAAAAAAAATATCTCATTTCTATCTCTTAACTCATCCAATTAAAAACACGTTAAAAAAAAAAAAAGGACTTGACAAGAAGTTACTGCTCCTTAAAATTATATAAATATCCTAACCATGTCAAAGTGAAAGTTACACAAATGACCTAAAAATATTCACCCCAAATAAATAAAAGTAAAAACGCTGTTTCACTTGAAGGCATGCAATCTGGTGTGCAGTGTGAGGAAAAGCATGTATACTCACCCGATATTCAAAATCTGCAAATTCCCTGCCCCCACGGCCTCTGAATCCGCCCCGATATCCCCGAGGGCTGGTGAAGGTGCCACCTCTGCCACCACCACGCCCTCGGCCACCACGGAAACCAAGACCTCCTCTGCCTCTGTATCCGCCCCGGCCACGGTTTGGACGAAGTGGGATTCCAAATGTCTCAGCATTCAGTCTTCTTTCTTCAGCCCAGGTTGGTCTTCGTTCTCTGTTATGAGAACAAATAATCTTCAGTGTATATCAGGTTTTAAAGGACATTTTCTAGCAAAACTATGTAGCACTAATTCCCAAATTAAGGCAAAGTGATTCCAAAAGATCATATAAAAATAGTACCTTATCTAATTTATCAAATGCTGTCCATGGCAATATGTTCCTATAATATTGTTAAACTTCATGTGAAAATATGACTGCTATCAGATTCTTGAAAATACAGTTGATAAAACAAAGAAACACAATAACAGCCCCAATACAATAGGGACTCATATAACGGGACTGGCAATGAACTCCACCTTCCACTCGGCCTCAGGGAAAGAAGAGAAGGCAAAGTCAGGCAAGGAAACCCTGTCTCGGGAAACTGGGAGGAGGAAGGTAGGTCCCTGAGTTCCCAGTAGGATCCTGGCCCAATCCCTGGACCTGATGCCTAAAAGCAAGTGTCTCAATTGCTGCTGCTGCTGTCCTAGAGCCCAGGCAAACCCGGTACTCAGAAATCATCCCCATCCATGTTTAAATAGAAGTAGACAACTGCCACCAGGTGGCACTAAACTGCAGCCAGGAGAAGGACAATTTGAACTGGGCAGCAGAAACCCAGGAACTCTAGTTTGTTACACTGGGTGGGTCCTTTAATTCACCTGACAATTTTCTGGATTCACATTTACTTCAATGTGGCAGAGTTTTACTATATCAGCAAACTTCAAAGTAACATTAGCATTCTTGGCCCTGCCTTTATTTGAACTACATTTTAGAGGGGTAAAGTAAAAGGTTTTATTTAGATGTTAGATGAATGCTTCTGTTTTAATTACTAATTTCCAAATCTGAATGCAGCCCTAAACCAAAGTATATGGTCATTTCTTCTTTTCAAGAAATAATATCAGTTAAAATTTTAGTATAATTTTCTTTTAGCAAAAAAACATTAAAAAGTTGCAGGCATGGGCTGGCTGAGTGGCTTAGTTGGTTAAGAGTTGGCTTAAGAGCATGAGCTCTGAGCAACAGGGCTGCCGGTTCGATTCCCACATGGGTGTGACACTGCGCCTGAGCTAAGCTGTCGCTGAGCTGCCAACAGGTGGCAGGATGGCTCAGCTGGTGTAACAACAAGATTGTCTGTTCGATGGTGGGCTATGCCCACCCGCAGCTGAGACTAAATTTGGCACCTTGAGCTGAGCTGCCACTCAGATGGCTCAGTGGATAGAGCGTGTGCTCTTAACAACAAGGCTGCCGGGTTCAACCTCCCCATGGGATGGTGGCTATGCCCACCTGCAACTAAGACTGAACTCAGCATCTTGAGCTGAGCTGCTGGATGACTCAGTGGATTGAGTGTGCACTTTTAACAAGGCTGATGGTTCGACTCCCACATGGGATGGTGGCTACGCCCTCCTGCAACTAAGACTGATCACAGCACCTTGAGCTTAGAGGCCACGAGCTGCCAATGGGCAGCCAGATGGTGACTGGCAGCCTCCACAAGGAAGACTGAAGAACAACTTGGCTGGTCCCATTCCCCAATTCCCCAACACTGTTCCCCTCCCCCAATTCCCTAATAAAATCTTAAAAAAAAATGCAGTTATTACATATTTTTAAGTATTCATTAAAGGCGGTGAATTTATAAGAAATCATTTCACACTTGAACTTCCTAAGAGCTTGAGAGCAGCTTAATAGACTGTACCTATTATCATCGCAAGAAATATTATCAAAGAATGATTTAGTTTTGTCATAATAGCAATTAGGTCCAAGTGGGTCTTCTTCATCTGCATTTCCTTCACTGTTTTGGGTATCAACTCCTGAGTCTCCTTTATCTTCACCATTTACAGGTTTCTCCTGTTTCTCGAGTTTATCTTCTAATGAAAAAACAAGAACATACCGTAAAAGTCAAGACTTGGACTAAACATCGATAATTCACAGGTCAAGTGAGAGAATTTTCTGAGTAGCAAAATGAAAATTCACCTTTCAATTTGAGTTTATTATGAAACTCTCTGTCGATTTCCTCCTTGTTAAATTGTGCATTTGCACTTTCAAAGTCAAAGTCTTTCTCAAATTTCATAGGGCCATCTCGTCGAATACCAAATCTTCCTCTGCCACCTCGATGACCCCCACGCCCTCTCCTTGGAGCTGAAGGAGCACCTGGAACTATGTTAGAAAGAATAAGCTGATTTAGGACAGAACTATTATTGTGGTTTTTATATTAAATGGTCAACAACAGAAGCGCCTACAAGTCTCTATACATTACTATATTTGTCTTTTTTACATAAAAGAGAAATGAAGTTTCACTAACATTTAATATATAATAGACTAAGAATAGCATACATGAAATTTATAAACAGCACACATGAAAGTTGTATTTATGGGGCCGACACTCATATATGTAACTGATAGAGTATACAACCAAACAATTTGGGGAAGACTTCTGTACTAAATTACTATATACTCCTTGAGGGCAGGGGCTTTATTTTGTTTATATCCTTAATCCTACAAAGTGACAAACACATAGTGGATTCTCAAAATCCAGGAAGCCTTTTATGGAAAGGATCACAGGAACCGAGATTTATATTAAGAAAATTAAATGAACACTAATCAGAACAAACTGCAAGGTAGGAGGTGTTGTTTCCACATCACAGATAACACAAGGTAAGAAGCACCAGGTCTCAACCACTCCAGTTACTTCCTGATCCATTTTTGTGTCTCCCTCTAAATGGCTCCATATTATTCAAGTCTTCTTGTATCTAGTCTTTCTCTACAATATATGATAACCGGATTTATAAAATATGATAAAGCAGCATAAATTATAGTGAAAATTTGAGAACCCAAATATCCAATGTGAAAGTAATAGTTAATAAGAAAAAAATAAAAGGAACATAGAATAGTATTTGATGTGTGTTAACAGAAACATACAGAGCACAAAGCAGTATGAATTCAATGATTATAATTATGTATAATGTTTAACACATACTGACAAAGATCAGACGTGACTAGGGTAACAGACAGGTTTTTGTTCACTGAAGTTTGGCAAAATGCCCAAGTTTGAGAAAACACAAAAATCCATAGCAGTATATCCAGACACTTATATCCAGAAAAGGATTCTTAAAACATTAAACTTTACTATTAAAAATGCCTTGGCCACAAGCCAGGAAGTACAGCACAATCCCTTCTGTCTTTAAAAAAAAAAAACAAAACAGCTTAAATATAGTCTATATCTGTAAAACCATAAGAAAAAAATCTAAAATTTTCGGTTAATGAACCTCTGAAGGATGAATTTTGAACGGCAGTGAAAGATACTTTTATTTATTATTTTATTTGATTTTTTAAATGATGGAAGTATGGTAATTTTTTATTTTGAGACAGGGGTTCTCTCTTTTTCCAAATTAAAAAAAGCGAAAAAAGTAAATCAAACCAGAAATTCTGTATTCTATGGCACATAGCACGTACAAAAATACATATAAAAATGTATAGGAAAAAAAATGTATAGGACAAACGAAGTATTTATACATTTAAAATATATCTAGTTTTCTAAAATTAAGTGGAAGATCACTTTCCAATCATTATCTAAATAAGGGATTACACATTGCCTTTATTTTTTAATTTGGAAGAGCTTTAAATTATAATTTATTCTCTACTAATAAATTAGAAAATATCAATAAAATGGATGAGTTTGGGATACGTATTATAGATTACAAAACAGATAAAGTATACAATCTTATTGAATCAATCAATAATCATGAAATAAAGTTCAAGTTCTTAAACAACTGCTTCAAAAAAGGGTTCAGTTAGCTTAAATAATTTTAATGAGAAAATTTCAAAATTTTAAGGTACAGATAATTCCTTTGATTTTTTTTTTTTTAAGCTAAGCCATCCTGCCACCTGTTGGCAGCTCAGCGGCAGCTCAGCTCGGGCCGGGACTCAAACCGCTGCTAGTCAGAGCTCACATTCTTGAGCGAGCTCTTAACCAACTGAGACACTGAGCCGGCCTCCAGATAATTCCATTCTTAGGAACATAGAAAACAATGAAAATTTTATAATACTAACATGAAACTGAAACAAAAACAAAAAAGAATACAAAAGACAGTACAAAAGAGGAAGCCATACAGCTATGTAAATATAAGTGTACAAATTCTACTAGCCGGTAACATTCAAGAATATATTAAAAGACAATTCAATATATTAAAAGACAATTGCCTACCATCAAGTAGGGTTTATTCCAGAAATGTAATGATTAAAAAAAACTTGTTTTAAAATAATTAGGCACACACCAAAAAAACTGAAAGTATAGTACAGAGTGGTCCTTTTTGCTCACCACCTAGCTTCCCTTCCAAAGCTTACATTTTATTTCAAAACTGGAAAATTGACACTGGCACAATATATAATTAACTACACTACAGGTCTTATTCGGGTTTCAATAGTTTTTGCATGTGCTAATGTTTTGGTAGTGTTTACGTATAGTTCTATGACATTTTGCCACATATACAGAGGGTGCAAAAAAAATGTATACACATTTTAAGAAAGGAAAAAAATTTATTAAAATTATGCTGATGGTAACCACTCTGAGCACCTCTTGTAATTGCAGAAGTCAAACGTGACTTGTATTAATCTTTTGTTATTGGTATATATTGAGTATTACAATTTTAACACAGTTTTTTCCTTTCTTAAAATTTGTATACATTTTTTTGGTACCCTCTATAGATCTGCACAACTACCACCAAAAAATAAGATAGAAGACTGTTCTGTTACCATAATGACACTCCCTTGTGCTACTCCTTTATAACCCTTGCCATTCATTTTTTATAGTAATTATGTACCACACACTTCAAATGTTCTCTCTCTTGAAAAGCATAAAATACGAATTTCGGATACACGTAACTTACCTATTTGTCTCTTGCTATCATTTCTGAGTTGCTCATTTTCTGGTCTTGAAACTTTGTGTACTTCAGCTATAGAAGACAAAGTGACAAATTAACTCGGGACACATAATCAAAAACTTACGTAAAGTTAGAAATGAGAAAAAAAAAATCCCAAAACAAACCCCCCAAAATCTATCCCCCCACCACCATCACTACTTTGAGCCAAATTGGAAAGACTGAACATTCTACCAAGTTCAATTTAAACCTTCTAGGATCATTCACAAAAAGTACCTTTTTAATGAAAATAAGGTGAATGGAAAATGTCGATGAGTCAATTAAGGAATAGTAAATAGCTAAAGTTCTACCTCGCCTGTGCTCTTGATTCTCTATTGCTTTTTGGCTGGTAGATGGTAAAGGCCTGGTTGATACAGGGCTCCTTCTCCCAACAGGTGCTGGAGCAGGTAAGTGGGCCGAGGCGGTCTGCACTGCTTGTTCCATGGTTGGGCTTTTTCTCAAAGGGTCTAACTGAGGGCTTGAACGACCTAAAACGTAACCAAAAGATAAGAAACTACCCTATCCTTTGGGAATTTCAAAATAACCTAGACCCTAAAAAAGAATGTCTAGTTTTATTTCTACCAATTTAAAATCCTTAGCACAAATTTGAATTCATCTACTTATTAGACCAGAATTTAAAACTGATTCTCTTTAGTGGGCTGGTCACTAGTTTAGTAAAAGAAAATATAAAAACAAAACAAAAAGCCCCAAACAAAAAATTGTGGAATTTTATCTTTATTTCTACCCAGTGAAACAAGGTTTAAAGTAAGTTTTTCAAAAATTACTGCCTGGTACAAGATTCTGCAGGAGTATCATCAAAGATCGTGCTGTAGGTCAGATGCAGGCTTTCCCCAATAACAACAACCATAAGATTCTATTGATACTGGAGCCATTATTTCCAGAGGCTTTCACATTTTGAGTACTTTCTGAAGCTATGTCTAAAATGATACCTTTATACCTGCAGATATTACCTCCATTAAATTTCTATTATGAAGTAAAAAACTAGCAAGTTAGGTGAAGCTCTCTAATATCTTATGGGCTTGGGTAATTAAACATCAATACTAAAAGGCCAGCAACAAATAAACCCTTCAGGTAATTATACAGTAGTGATACTTATTCCTTGCCATTTGAAAGATGTCTTGCCAAGTTTTTGCTCACTACAGGTTTGTAACTTACAAATTCCATTTTTCCTTTTATGAGGTCAGTGCCTGCTCATAGTATGAACAGATGAATGTAACACTGTGTGCTCCCATCATGCTTTTTATCCCTATAATGTTTGCAGTAAATATCTGTTCAAGGTGCTCTCATGTCCCATGACATCACACCAAAACGTTTCGCTTAAAAAAATTTATGCTTATTTTTTGTAAAAGAAAAAAGAACCCCAAATATGCTACAAATGTCACTATCCACTTGTGCAATCTGCACAGCCTCCAAATAACTGGTGAACTGATAAGTGCTGACAAAGCATTGATTGTTGTGCACCAGATGCTTCAGGGACTGTTTATTAGTGCGACTCCCCAAGTTTATGGCTACCTACAGTATGCACTTGCAAATGGGTATCACTATTTCCAGCCATTAATGCCGAAGTTTATATTGATTATAATGGGAAATCATGGTGGTTTATATGTTTGGCCTGTGAGAAGACCTTTTGCCATCACTCATCACCTTATAAAGGGACTTAATTTATACAACAAATGCTAAGTTTTTCGAAAAGCCTATTGCTTTGTTAATTTTACAATACTACGTGTACATTAAATGATCTTGTAAGTTTATAAAACTTACTTCATCAGGCTTTCCTTTGAGAAAAGATCCTATGGCTCCCAAGTATTATAGAACCACAAGTGATGGGGCAATCATAGTAAGTGAGAACTCACATATTGATTTGTTGTGTATTTTAAAAACCTTTGTAATTAAAGTCTACTGGGCATGAGTAATTATGTTATAAATAGGGAAATATAGGTGATATCGGAAATTATGAGGAATAAACACAAAGGCTATTTCAGCATAATAAAAACACACCTTGAGCCATCTTCACATTCTTATCACAGTTAAAAGAAAACTAGGAAGGGCCGGCTAAGTGGCTCAGTTGGTTAAGAGCTCGCTCAAGAGTGCGAGCTCTGAGCAACAGCGGTTCGATAAAAAAAAAAAAAAAAAAAGAAAACTCTAGGTGTTTTAATTTTGTGAAATTCAGACATTTTAGTTGGTGAAATTAAAATGCAGATTCCCAGGCCACCTCTGCCATTGCTTTACATAAACATACCTCTTTCTTCTAATATATACTTAAAATTTTAAAAATTTACTTAAAAGTTAGTTTAGTCCTAAGTACGAGGGAATGAAACCTAGTTATTTTCCCAATGATAAGGCAGTTGTCTATCCCACGATCATTTCCTGCTCAGCTAGCATTTCTCTAATTTAAAAATAATATCTTTATCATATACTACTTATTTAAACTTGGATGTTTCTGACTGTTGTTCCATTCATCTCTAAATTTATTCCTGTACTGCTTTATTTTATGCATACTTTATTATTGAGTAGTTAAGCCCTATCACATTACTTTTATTTTTTAAATGTCTAGCTATACTTCCATGTTTATTTTTAAGATAGTTTATATGTTTTTTAAGTTCTTATACCATTCCATTTGCATTTATTGAAAGCACAGTACATTTAATTAATATGAGAAGTAAACCCTTGACAATACTTTATCTTTGTATCCAGGAATGTTTCTCTGATTATATTATCTTTCATGTCCTATTACATTTTGTATTTTCACCATAGAGGTTGGTCAGATTTCTTATTATGTATTTTATATATAATTTCTATTTCTCATTATTGTGAGCATCTTCTTTTGTCCCCATTACATAATTAGTGGGACAGGTTTTAGGACAACTATTGATTTTTGTATGTTTACTTTACATTTTACCTCTATCTTCTTTAGGTCCCTTATTAGTTCTAGGTTTTTCAGTGAATTCTCCATTCCAAGCAGATTCACAGCATTGACAAATAATGCTAATTCTAATATCTATGCCTCTTATTTCTTTTTCACGTGTTCCTGATTAAACTAAAAATTCCAGAACAAGGCTGAATAGCAATGATAACACGCATCCTTGTTTATGATTTTAATAAGAATTCTTCTGGTGCTTCCATATTAAGGTTAATGTTGGCTATTGATTAAGACAGCTAACATCTACTGATCGCATTCTATGGCTAGGCACTATGCTAAGGGCACTGCATACACATTTAAAAAGACTTATCATCACAATAAGTCTGTTAGTTACCAGTCAAGTCCCATTTTATAGTTTAGAAAACTAAAGCTTAAAAAAGATTAAGTATTTTCCCTAAGAAAGAATTCTTTTAAAAAATAAAATTAAAAAACCCACGCACATATACACAAATATACACTTAAATTAACCTAGAAAAAAGTCTAGAAGTATACACGACAAAATATAAATATTTGTTATTTCTGGGTAGCGAGATTGTGGGTATTTTAATTTTCTTACTTATGCTTACTGTATTTCTAATTCATCTACAACGAATCATTAGAATGTTTAAAATTTAAGTTATTTTAAATCAATGTAAATAATTGTAACTATAACTATTTCAAAATATCTCAAGTGAGATAGGATTATGTTTAACATTAGCTGATTTTACCTTCAATAGCTTTTAAAAACACTGTCCTGAGATTATAGCAACCTTCTGAAATGAGTTCGCATTGTTTTATTTAAATGTAAACATCTATGTAAAGCAATGAGCCAATAACATCCACTTTGGCAGCAGATAAAAACAGATATGGGATCTTGGGACCACTGAGGTTATAAGACTGGTGGAAAAATATAATTAAAAAAAAAAAAAGAAACAGGACAGTTTAAGAAGCTTATTAAAATGCAGATCCCTAAGCTCCAGGGATTCTGATGTAGCAGTTCTCAGGATCTACATTTTTAAGCACTCTAGAGGATTTGGTTGTGGGTGGTCTAGACTGAGAACCACTGCTCGAGCTCCTGTGAGGATGCTAGGAAAGATGCAACAGCATAAGGGCAGTTTGTTTCTTCAGCTGCTATTTAAAATTCATCAAGGAGAGTTCATCTTCAGTAATGAGTCCGGGATTAAAGTATTATATACTTTATTATTAAAGTATTTATGTACTTGCCTTGCAAAATACAAATGCTTCAGTTTTAGGATCTAAGAATTGTAAGTAGTCTAAATAGCAGAAGTCATTCAATAATATACTTATTGCAGTGGCAATTAGGAGAAAAATTTTTAAAGAACCAAATAGAAATTGTGCACGTGATTTACAAACTGCAAAAGCTCTTACATTCAGAGAAAGACAAAAACCACTACAGAAGTTTAGAATGGAAATATTTGAAGGACAAAACAGCTTACCTTGAGATAACTGTGTTTTTAGAGGTCTTGTCTCCTGTGTAAAGGCAGAACCAACAGCACTACTTTGGGATAGGGTACCGCTGTTGGATGTTTCTGTTCCAAAGGATGTCAAGGAGCTTCCAGCTTTAAGAGATTTTTTTTTAATGACAAAAAAATCTTTTTAAACATTTTAAACCTTTCAATTATATAAAGTAACATACCATTTAAATTATGATAATTTTCACCACCCCCTAACACTTGTGCCAACTAATAATCCTGGAAATTAATGAAAGTACATCAAAAATTAGTTGAGAAATCTTTGACAATACTGTATAGGAAAAAAATAAGCCAATATACATACGCCAGCATCAGAGCTGCAAAAATTTTTGTAACATATGCAGTGCTGTCCTAGGCAGTTATGCAGATGGGATAGCAAGGACCCCCATCAGATACAGAAATAGCAGAAATGGTACATTCTACACCAACATTAAGGTTCAATTATTCTAATGCCAAGTGTCTGCACAAACAGCCAAATCAACAGGTCTATGAAGTGCTTTCCTAGCATTTCTAAGGCAACAGAGAATGGACTCCAGTCCATTTTAATGCTTCCACTCAGGATGGTACTGTGGGGCTGCATTCTGCTTAAAGCAACCACAAAAGTTTTGGTAATATATGAGTAAACACATCCCTAGAAAGGGCCCAATTCTTTGCTATACTAGGTTATGTCCATCTTCAAGTTTCTACAGTACTATGGATCATTCACTTTTCACATGCTTACTTTTCTCCTCTTGCTGTTTAATCTATGTAGTTTTTCTCTAGCAGGAACTATTTCCATAGCCCTTCTCCTACCACCAAATCCAATATTAAGATGTTAGAATAATCTTTTATGAAATACAAATATAATCTCATTACTACAATGCTTAGGACCCTCTGATGGCTTTCCACTGCCCTCAAGATACAAGTTCAAATTACCTACACCTTGCTTTATACAGTGCTCCCCTTATCTGCCTACCTCTTCCCTCATCACTTTCCTTATTTTCACCATCTACTCCACAGAACTTTACCCAACCACACTTAAAATATTTGAAGACTATGATCATGTCCATCACCATCTTTTCATTTCTAAACTAAGCAACTCCAGTTCCTTCAATCATTCTTCACCTTCACATGGTATTTACCCCCCACTTGGACTCCTAATTTAATGAATTCTATTAATAGTTGTTTATATCCATCTTAAAATGGGGCGTCAAAGCCTAGCAAAGTATCTCAGATGAGAACTAATGGGACTCTCTTGGAGGTGCAATCCAGTCAGGCTGTAGCCTCAGCTGGCTCTGGAGAGGTCTAACATAACTCCCATAACACCCCCAGAAATGTTGGGACTAGCGCTCTTAATAATTCTGTGGGGAGCTGAATCCATCCCACTATCCCTAGTATTTCTGGGCAATGACCAAGACATAACCCACCCTGATGATATGCATTTATATCTCCGTGCTATCCTGTTTCCTCACCTGACTCAACCTCTCCCCGCTTACCCCTGGGTTAGCAAACTCTTCTATATCCTTCATCTAGTCTCTTCCTGGTCATACCACACCCACCTCCTGATCCCAATTCTATTAACTTATCTTGATTTATTTTTTACATATGTTAAGAAGCAGGGGTCAAGGTTATTTTTTTCCAAAAAGATATCCAGCTACTGCAATATCATTTGTTAAAAAGATTTCTCAGATTAGGAAGTACAAATGGGTATTCACAAAATAGTCACGGGGATATGAAATATAGTATGGGAAATATAGTTAATAATGTTGTAAAGACTATGTAGGGTGTCAGATGGGTACAGGACTTATGAGGAGATCACTTCATAGATTATATAGATGCCTACCCACTGTGCTGTCAACCTGAAACTAATATAAAATAATACTGAATGTCAACTATAATATATAGTGTGCCAAAAAAATTTATACACATTTAAAGAAAGGAAAAAGCTATTAAAATTGTAATAATACAGATAACAAAAGATGAATACAAGTCACATTTGACTTCTGCAACTATAAGAGGTGCTCAAAGTGGTTACCATCAGCGTCCAGACACTTCCGATTATGGCTAATTAGTGCTTGAGCATAGTATACATTTTTTGGCATCCCTCCCTCTGTGTGTGTGTGTGTGTGTGTGTGTGTGTGCGCGCGCGCGCTTGCTTAGTTATGGGATGTTAAGTACAGCATAAGGAATATAGTCAGTGGTATTGTAATAGCTACAAACATGTACAATGTCAATGGGTAGTGGACTTGCTGGGGTTCTCGTTTTGTGAAGGGTGTAAATGTCTAATCAGTAGGTTGTACACCTAAAACTAAAAGATTTCCCCCTCTTCATTGTGCTGCACTGGCATTTTTGTTCTAAATTAGTATTTAAGTGGGTCTATTTCTATACTCTCTATTCTTTACTCCTGGTTTATTTGTCTGTCAATACTTCACTGTTCTGATCACTATAACTTTATAGCAAATCTTAAAACCAGGTAAAAACGTCAAACTTTCTTCTTCGAGATTGTTTTGGTTATTCTGGGTTTTGTATTTCCATATAAATATTAGAATCAGCATGTCAATTTCTATTTTTTTAAGATGTCTGATGGAATTTTGATGGAGGTTATGTTTAAGCTGTAAATCAATTTTGGGGGAAAAGTCACCTTCCAACCCATAAGAATGGTTTAACTCTCCATTGACTTGGCTCTCTAATTTCTCTCAGCAGTGTTTTGTAGTTTTCGTTGTACAGCAGTTTTCTTTACTTTAGCACTACTGACATTTTGGGCGAAATAACTATTTGTTGCGAGGGGTAGTCCTATGCATTGTAGGATGTTAAGTAGCATCACTCGCTTCTACCCAGTAGATACTATAATAGTAGTAGCCCCCAGTTGTGACAACCAAATGTCTCCATGCATTATTAAATGCCCCCTGGGGTAGGGGGTTAAAATTAATCCCCCTCCATTGAGAACCACTATGGTAGAGATTTTAAAATATCTTTTTCAGGACTGGCCGAGTGGCGCATTGGTTAAGAGCTGGCTTGGGACGCCAAGGGCCCCGGTTCAGATCCCACATATGAGGGCCAGTGACACTGCCCTCTACAGCTAAGATGCTGAACAACAGCTCAACTTGGAGCTGGGCTTCCGTGAGACCCCGTAGGCTGCAACCCCTGCTGCAGTGGGTTGCCATGGGCTACCGTGTGTAGCCAGCAGCTGGCATGAGCGGCCAGCAGCCGGCGACTGATCTGCCTTACCCGGGAAGAGCGCAATGATGGTGTCAACTTGGGCCAGTGAAGCAACATCCTCCACAACTAGGCTGAAGAAAACGACAGCAACTTGTCTGTTCCCCTTCCCTCAATTCCCCAGCGCTGTTCCAATTCCCCAATAAAAATCTTAAAAAAAAAAATATATATTTTTCATTCCTGGTGTCTGATGTTATTCATGCTATTGTAAGTTGTGTTGCATTTACATTTCATTTTCCAATAGTCTATTCTAGATCAGGTGTCAGCAACTTTATCTGTAATTGGCTAGATGGTAAATATATTATTTTAGGCTTTTCAGGCCATACGATATCTGTTTTAACTACTCAACTCTGCCCTTGAAGTGTAAAAGCAACCACAGACAACGTGTAAATTACATGAGTGTGGCTGTGTTCCAAAAAACTATTTACAAAAATAGGAGGCTGGATTTGGTCTACAGGCCATAGTTTGCCAACCTGTGTGTTATAGAATACAAAAATACAGTTGATTTTTGTATATTTTACCACATATCTCCTTACCATGTTACATTCACTTATTCATCCTAGTGGTCTGAACATTCCTTTGCATTTTCTATGCACACAGTCATGTCACCTCCAAATAAAGACAATTTTAGTTCTTCTTTTCTGTTCTTCAAATATTTTGTCTATTTTTGCCTTACTGGATTGACTTGGACCTCTACAACAACCCTAAATGAAATGCTGAGACAATTTTGCGTTGGATTTATTTCTTACCTCAAAGGAAACACATTCATTACTTCATCATTATTTATGTAAGCTTTTCACTTCACTGATCGAATTTAGGATATTTCCTCCCATTCCTTAGTTGTTGATAAATGGGCGTTGAATTTTATCAAATGCCTGTTCTGTATTGTATCTTTTGGGATTGAAGTTTTTCTCCTTTTATTGTTAATGCGGTAAATTACTAATGATTTTCAAATGTTAAAACAGCTTTTCATTCCTGAGAGAAACCTCATTGTTATTATGTACTATCCTTTTTATGAACTGCTGGCTTCCACTGCTAATACTGTATAAGGATTTTTACATATGTTCATGGGAGAGAGTGAGCTGTAATTTTCTTGTAATGACTGCATTAGATTTTGGTATTTCAACTTGCCTTAGCTATCTGGTTAGGAAGTGTTCGGCTTCCTCTATTCTCTCAAAGAGTTTTTATAAGACTGGTAAAATTATTTCTTCTATAAATGGTAGAATTTAGAATATAGAATCTATAAATGGTAGAATCAAACAGTCTACAGTTTTAACTTCTTTAACAGATACAGGGATTTGAGATTTTATTTCCTCTTGTGTTGGATTCGGGAAGTTGTATTTTCCAAAGAATTGGTCTATTTCACCCAAGATGTCAAATTTACTGACATAAAGTTGTTCAATATTTTCATAGTATTCGTTTAGGATCTGTAGTGATAATATACCCTTTCATTTTTGGTATTGGTAATTTGGGTCTTCTTTTTCCCCTGATCAGTCTTGCTAAGGGCTTATTAACATCATAAAATTTGTCAAAGGAACAATTCCTGGCTTTGTTGATGTTATATAGGTGTATTTTGGCTTGTTTCTATTTTATTGATTTCTGCTTTTAAAATTTTTCTTCCTTCTACTACTTTTGAGTTCATTTTCCTTCCTTTTTTTCTGGCTTAAGATGTCAGCTTAGAGCATTGATTTTAAAACATTGTTTTCTAATACATGTACTTAAAGATATGAAAATTTCCCTAAGCAATTCTTAAGCTCCACTCAAATTTTGACATGTTGCATTCTATAATTAAATTAAAAAATACATTCTAATTTCCATTATGATTTTTTGATTCATTAATAATTTACAAGTTTGCTCAACTTTCAATTATTTAGATATTTTCAAGTTATCTTTATTATTAATTCCAAATTTAGTTTCTTTGTGGTTTGAGAAGATACCATGTATACTTTCAATCCTTCTGAATTTAATGTAACTTGTTTTATGATTTGATCTATTCCCTTGAGCAGTCCATGTTTACATGAAAAGAATCTATATTCTGCAATAGTTGGGTATACTATTTTATAAAAGTTACATACACATTTAGGATTGTTATAGCTTCCTAATGAACTGCCCTCTGTGCCATCTTAAGAACCCCTCTTTATCTCTGGTAGTACTCATCTTTAAGCTGCTTTGTCTGATGTTCATTTATCTAACATAGTTTTCTTGTTATCAGTGTTTATATGGTCTGGCAGGTCTTTTTCTATTTTTTTACTTTCTTTCAGTGTATCTCCTATAAACATCATATAGTTGGATCCTGTTGTTTTTTTTTTTTAAAACAATTCAGTTTGATGATCTCTGCCTTTTAACTAAAATGTTTAATTCCTTTATACTTTACTAAAGCACATCTTTAACAGTCCTTAGTCTGTCATCCCTAATGCATGAAATATCCTCCTGGCTTTATGCAAACTGTAAAGTTCATAAGCATGCCCTATAAGTATTCATCAAACTCAGTGATTAAAAATTAATCTATATAAAACACTGGAGGCCTAAGAGAATCATTGTGCAATATAGTTTGACTATTTAACCAGCTAAAAGGTACCCAACCCATTTGTCTGTCTGTTCAGTCAATATTCCTCCATCTTGCCCATAAGAGTACTATGAGATGTAGACAGCATGCCATGAGTATTTTGCTGCTTAATTTATTGAGATGATTTTTTCCTAAGGGTCCATAAATTAAAGTCAATAATGATCTCATCTTTATACATAAGAATTATATTAGCATCAGCTTAAAAAACAGTGTTTTAATTCTATCTGGTACATCATTCCTTTCAATGTATGAAGAGTATCTGTTTCCCACAATCCTTCCAAAAAAGAATATACTCAAACTTTCGGGTTTTGCCAAATTGATAGCAAGAAATGGTATCTTGGTGTAGATTTAATTTGTATCTCATCGTAAGCAAGATTTAAGCATCTTTCCATGTTTAAGGGCCATTTGTATTTTTTTTTCCTGAAAAAGGCAAACTTAGTGCCTAATGCTTGCCTATGTTTCTGCTGGGCTGTAGATCTTTATTTTTAAAAGCTCTATAGATATTAAATCCTTCATGATATAAATTGCAAATGTGAAAAGACTGTAACAATATGTGAAAAGTAAAGTGAAAAATTTCCCCCCCAATAAAACAGCAATAGTATAATCCTAATTTATTTAAACTTCCTTTTTAAATTAGAATACTAAGGACCAAAAATAAAAACAAGGGGGATAGCTTAAAATCGGGCTTAATTTGTGGCAACACAAATTATATTTGAGTTAATCAATGCTGCAGTTTTCCTCTTCCTCATTTAACAACTTTTAAATATTACATATAGGTTCTCTAATTAGCCATTCCACAAATTATCTTACAATCAAACAATCAAAAAGGATCTGCTACTGCAAAAATTACCTTACCAACATGGAAAACACAGGTAAAACCCTTTCTACTTTTGTGACAGCCAAAGAACGCTAAACCAGCAACCCCCAATAATATTAATATTAGATAGAAACATTTACAAAGAATATATATTTTACTACCACAACTACTTTGATTAGAGGAGTACGCTCTGAAAAATGGGAGAAGCAGTATTTAATGTAAGGCACTAGGTGCTAGACTCTGTTCAAAAGTTTTATACATAATAAGTCATGCAAACTCCACAGCGATGTAGGAGGTTAAGTACAATAATAATCCCCTGTCAGCTAACTATTCGATTTAGTGAAAGAAGTCTCAAAAGGACAATATAATTTGCAATCGTTCCTTATTTGAATCCTCAGGATAAGATTCTAACATAGGGTTTGTATCTGGATTTAACATGTATAATTAACATTAGTCTTACTACTTGAATAGTTTGGGAGGTACATGGACCAAAGTGACACTATTTCACCTATCTAAGAATAGGTCTAAAAGGAATTAAATATTTAGTTTTTAATTTTGAAAAATGTCATATCTATGTCAAATTGAAAGAGTACACGTGAATACTGATATCATCCTTATCTAGACTCATCAACTGCTAATATCTTGCCAGGTCTATTCAGTTTCTTCATTTCCTTATATCCTGATACACAATTCTCTTTTGCCTAGATAGGGAACAATCAATTTGACCCTTCACCCTTAAATACTCCAAAACCATCTCCCCCAAACAAAGACATTCTCCTGTGTGGTTAACCACAACACCATTAATATATCTACAAAAATCAACAATAACACCACCATCCAACATTTAGTCTGTACTCAAAGTTCCTCGGTAGTCTCTAAAATGTTCTTTATATCAACTTAAAAAAAAAACACAAACCCAAATCCAACCATATATTCTATTTGGGTGCTATGTCTCTTCAGTCTCCTCAAGTCTAAAGCAGTCCTGTTGCCTGCTGAGTCCTTTGAAGAGTTGGGCCTTCTGGACATGTATGATTCGTTTCTTCATGATTAGAATATGCATTTTCAGTAAGAACACTAGAGAGATGGAATCGTGTACCCCTCCTCCCTGTATCACCACATCAGGAGACACAGCTATTCAACTATGGCAATGCCAAACTCCATGAACTGATTAAAAGGATGACCCTCTTAATCAGATCACTCCATTATAAAGGTACATTTCCCCCCTTTATAATTTTTAATAACTGTGGAACGATATTTTAAGGCCATTTTAATATCCTGTCCAACACCATTCACCCAATGATTTTAGATCCACTGATAATTCTGCTGCTAATTATTATACCAGAGATTATAAAATGGTGATTTTCAACATCTATCATTCCTTCGATTTATTAGCTGGCATTTTTCTGTTAAAAAAAAGAGCATTGTTTCCCTTTCTTCTTCTTTTTACAAGGTTCCTTTTAGTGGAAAAATGGTATTTACAAACCAAGAACTGGGTCTACATGTGTTCTTTGCTACTGGATATCACTGCTTCTAGGCCCTTTCTATGAACAGTAAGGAAATACCCAGTTTTTTAAAAAATGAGTTCATTCATACTGCCAATTCACATTCAACACCACAGGGTTCTTCCTTACCTTTTCCCATTCCATATTTGTGTCTCCCTTCTCCACAGTAAGAACACCATTTCCAAACAGTATCAATATATTACTAATTTGTCCTATCTAATTACACACAAAAACCAGTTTCAAAATTAATACCAATACCACTACCAATTACAAACCCTGTCATTTTTTTAATAGTTCTATTTGTTCTTACAATATATCCTACTAAGAGTGTAAAATTTAATTGAATTAATTATTTATTCTATGTGGCTATGTTATCAATTTGATATATACTTAGCACCAGTTGTTTTCAGCTTATATTCATTCAATTTTTGGGATTCATCTTTTCCCCATCCCTTTTTATTTTGTTAAGTCAAACGTTTACATACCTGAAAAGTTACAACTATATTAAAAAGTATATTCATAGAAAGGAATTAATTTTAACAAAATTTGTTAGCATACTAATGAGTTTCAAGATACACCTAAAAGTGGATTTGTGATTCAGTGAAACAAAGTAAACTGATAAATAGCTATTTCAATGGAACTAAAAAAGATTAAAGGCTAGAGTTTGAGATTTAAAAAGTTATTCCTTACTGTGGGAATTTCAATAAAGGTGTATTTAAGACTAAAATGCACAGCTATAAAAACAAAACAACACTGAGCTGATCTGATTAAACCTAGCTTTTGCGCTCAATGGATAGCTTGTGTCTTTCAGCCAAAAGTAGGACTGTTATAAGCCCAGCCCTTCTACACATAAGCCTTATAGTGTTATATTTCTAAAACATTGTTATAATAAACAAAGCACCCAGCCCCCAAACATGCTAAACATCTGAGAATCTCTTACAGGTGGTATTAAATGGGATAACCATCAATAATCAACATAGGGGCTGGCAGAGTGGCTCAGTTGGTTAAGAGCGCGAGCTCTGAGCAACAGGGTCGCTGGTTTGATTCCCACATGGGTCAGTGGGCTGCACCCGAGCTGAGCTGCCAACAGGTGGCAGGATGGCTCAGCTGGTGAGAGCACATGATCCTAACAACAAGGTTGCCTGTTCGAGATGGTGAGTTATGCCCACCTGCAACTCAAGACTGAACGTGGCACCTTGAGCTGAGCTGCCACCCGGATGGCTCAGGGGATAGAGCATGCGCTTGTTACAAGGCTGCCGGTTTGACTCCCGCATGGGATGGTGGCTATGACCACCCGCAACTAATTGAACACAGCACCTTGAGCTGAGAGGCGCTACTGGACTTGGAGCTGAGTTTGCTGCGCCCTCCACAACTAAAATTGAAGGACAACAAATTGGCTGTTCCCCTTCCTCAATTCCCCAATAAAATCTTAAGAAAAAAATTGGCCAAAAAACAAAAAAAAAACACACAACATAATAGAAATACTCCTTAATGGCATTATTTTTTCCTAATAACAATGGCATTATCTCCAATCCCCTTTTTGAAAACCCATCCTGTTGGAAAAAATACTTATTTTAAATGGATATATCTTATGTAAATTTAAAATAACATTCAATAAAATTTGGTAATGGGGCATATCTACTTTTTTTTTTAAAGCGATTATTCTGAGATGACCTTTTTAGAATCACTAGTCAACGATAATACTAAATAAAGCCTTTAAAATAATAGGTTATAAAAGAAACACCAAACTATGTCTGAAAATTTGTAGTAAGAAAAAGAAAAAAACAGGTTAAAAAGCAAAACGTACCAACACCAACAGTACCAAACTGCTGCCCGACTAATGAACTTGGACTGAACTGACTGTATGTCGACATCCTGCCAAAAGGTCCATAGGAACCCACTGACTGGAATGAAGAAGTAGATGAGCCTAGTGAAGACTGAAGAAAGACTGGGTTACTTTTCCAGGCTCTAAACAACATGCACATAATGGAAAGCAATTTGGATATTCACATTTTTAAGAAAATTATTAGATTATAACTACTAGACGCAAAAGCAATTATAATAACTTACAACATGCATTTAATATTACAACAGTTGAATAACCTTCTGATTGCTTTATATAAACAGCTGACCCTTGTACATGGGTTTGAACTGTGAGGGTCCACTTATATGTGGATTTTTTTCATTTTGCATTTGTGGATTCAACCAACCACGGATCAAACTTTCCATCTGTGGTTAGGAATTCACAGATACAGACAGCCGACTGCATGCATTCATTGTTCCACACCATTTTATATAAGAGGCTTGAACATCCACGGATTCTGGTATGTGCAGGAGATCCTGGAACCAATCTCCCCGCAGAACCTGAGGGATGACTGTAGGTAAGTTTTTGGGGAGACAAAAATTATACACGGGGGGTGAGGAGGGGTTTGGTACACTTAAGCTCCATGTTGTTCAAGGATCTACTGTATGTATGTAGCAATTATACTCAATGTGATTTATAAATACTTTTTTTCTATAACAAACTCCTTTGTGTAAACAGTTTTATAGCTGATTTAGGGAAGAACGAAAGAAAAGTTTCTTGAATAAGTGAAGGAACTTTTGCTTAAAGAAAAAATATGAGAAAAATCACATTTGGTCATACTAAGTTTTAGTCTGGCACCAACATAAATAAGACTTCTCACTTCTGATTTTACTTTTATGGTTTTCAATCATTTAAGATGTACTATTAACTTTACAGGAAAGAGATACAGAAACAAACTATCCCACACAAGCCATTTACATTTTAAACTATAGTAATCATTAGGTTAAAGAAAAAATTTAAAAACCTTAACTTACTAAACCTAAAATATATTTTAATATGTACATATGCAAACTTTATTCATTAACTTATCTTAATATAAATTATTTCATAATATAAAGATGAAGTGTACTAACAGCTACTGGGGATATAAGCTTACTGATGGCAGGACCGTGTCTGTGCTAGTGTCAGGCACATGGCACGTACTCAATAAATACTCCTAAATGAATGAATAAAAAAAAAATTAAAAATAAAAATTCATAGTAGTTGGAAGAAGTTATTCAATACCATTTTTTTTTTTTAAAGATTTTTATTGGGGAATTGGGGGGATGGGAACAGTGCTGGGGAATTGGGGAAAGGGGAACAGACAAGTTGCTGTCGTTTTTTTTGTTCTTCAATCTAGTTGTGGAGGATGTTGCTTCACTGGCCCAAGTTGGCACCATCATTGCGCTCTTCTCTGGCGAGGCAGATCAGTCGCCGGCTTCTGGACGGCCGCTCACTGCGGCTGCTGGCCGCTCACGCTGGCTGCTGGCCACACACGGTAGCCCATGGCAATCCACTGCCACAGGGACTGCAGCCCACGCCGTCGCCGGCGACTCAGGGCAGCCCAGCTCCAGGTTGAGCTGTTGTTCAGCATCTTAGCTGTGGAGGGCAGTGTCACTGGCCCTCATATGTGGGATCCGAACCGGGGCCCTCTGGCATCCCAAGCGAGTTCTTAACCATCGCGCCACTCGGCCGGCCCTATTCAATACCATTTTGATTTGTGCTCTCTTGGTTTTTTCATTCCATACAGCTGATTACTTAAATAAGTGGTTCCCTGGAGATTTAACAAAAGGTGTGTGTGTGTGTGGGGGAGAAGAGAGAATGAATGACAGAAAATAACACTCTTTAGTGTAGGCAGCTATCTCTATTAGAATGTTTCTTCTCCCTCCATTTAAGAAGTTCAGGTTTTCTCAGGCTTCCTTCAGACTTACTTCCTCAAAAGAAAGACTTAGAAAGGAGAGGATGGGTGAGAGTAGAGAATTACTCTCTAGCTTATTAGAAGAGTTCATGAAGTATTTTCATTTAACAGCTGGAAGTAAGACAACTCCTATGCAAGATTTTGTGTGTGTGTGTGTATATATGTATTTATATATATATGTGTGTGTATGTGTGTGTGTGTTTAACTGAGCCATCCTGCCACCTGTTGGCAGCTCAGCTTGGGCCTGGCATCGAACCATTGTTGCTCAGAGCTTGCACTCTTGAGCGAGCTCTTAACCAACTGAGACACTCGGCTGGCCCAAAGACAATATATATTTTAAGAATTTGTTTTGTGGCAAACTAAGATTTTATCACTCACAGCACAACAAAAGTTAATTTAAGAGTATTACACTGATAAATCAATAGTCCCATTTTAGTGCAGATGACTAAACAAAGACTTCTAACAAGAAATAAGGCCGAGAAAAAAATGGATTCAGGGCCGGCAGGATGGCGCGTTGGTTGAGGGTTGGCTTGGGGGTGCCAGCACTGAGCAGCAGGGCCCCAGTTCGTCCCACATGAGGGCCGGTGGCACTGTGCCCTCTGCAGCTAAGATGGTGAACAACAGCTCAACCTGGAGCTGGCTGCCTGCAGCGGGGCTGCCGTGAGTCGCCGGCTACTGCGTGGGCTACAGTGACTGCCTCACCCGGGAAGAGCGCAATGATAATACCAGCATGGGCTGGTGGGGCGATGTCCTCCGCAGCTGGACTGAGGGGCGAAAGGGCAGCGACTTGTCTGTTCCCCTCCCCCAATTCCCCAATAAAATCTTAAAAAAAAAAAAGGATTCAGGAGGAAAAACAAGGGGGCCACAAGCTTTTAGTCAGTTATGCTCTCAAATAAAAATACTCTTATGTGAATCTTGCTATTATGGCTGACATTCAGTTTCTATATGCTTCCAATTAACATGTAAACAGGTATTTTAATGGACATCTTTAATTCACAATTCAAAAATTTTTTGGCATCATGTGTTTCTGTTTTTTAATAAAATACAGATTTTTAAAATTTCTCTTACTGAGAATACTTAGGGTCTTCTTGTTTAATACCTTATTTAGGGAATTGAACAACATATGTGTATGTGTTAAAATTCTTTTATGTTTGGCTATCTTATTATATAACATTGTACATATATTATAGAATATATAATGTGATCTAACTTCCTCCCCACCGAACCTAATAATCTTTCCTAAGAGTAGCCAACACCACCCTGGTTTGTAATATGAACCACAAGTGGCATGGATCTTGGATCCAGACAAGACTGCCTGGGTCTGCTCAAATTGTGGCTCTACCCCAATCTCACTTGTAAAAATGAGAATAATTATAGTAACAAGCTCAGAGGGTGTTGAGGGGATTGACTTATATGTGCAGTGGTTTGAATAGGACCTCAATAAATATTAGCTATTTTAACTGATTTTGAAATTAGAAAACATTTTATGACAAAAACAAATTCCTCAGCTATTTCTTACTTTATTTGGTCCCTTATGATCTAAAGAGAAAAACCTAGGTGAAAATATTATCCCGGTACTTTAGGCATTGAGGGAACTAGAAAATGGTAAGCTATATGAACATTCAATTGATAAAAATTAAAAAAAAAACCACACCAAAAAAACCCCAATTACAAAACCCAAAACCCAGGAGGGGCAAAAGCCAAGGTTAGCTATGCGCATCAAATTTACTTGCACTCCAAGACAAATTTACTATCAGTTACCTGAACGATAGCTGGGTCCTGAGGCAAAGAACATTGTGGTTTTGGAGGCTCACAAACAGTGAGGTCTTTAATATCACTTCCTCGGAATATAATGTATTCAAAGACTTCATCTCGAGGTGGTATTGGACGATCTGTCGGTCTGTCTTCTGTACCAAAGGACCGAACTGGTGAGAAAAAGATGAGATGAGATATGTATCTACTTATCATATTCAGACAATGCCTCTTGTTAAGTATACTGTTCCAAGCATTAAGCAGTTCTTAAAAGTCACTCATGAGAAAGTACTCATTAATCTGTAGCTAAATATTTTTAAAAAGAAAACACAGTGAATTTGCCTAGAACTAAATGTATTCAATTTAAAAGACTATTATTATGAGTTTGTGGTCTTCCTACATTTTTATTTATTTGGTGGTTGTGGTAAGAGGAAGAGTTAAAAATGTCCTTTATTTCATTGTTGATTTATTTTTCATGTCCTCATGCAGCAAACTAAAAATTGGAAAACTATGTGATATTTCTTGGTGGAGGGCAGTGAGTAAAGATTTACCCAGTCCACAAAATCCAAGTTTGGGAAACTAAACTTCAGGATTAAGGCAATTGAAGGGAACATCTGTCTTGGTGAATAGGTCCTCTAGAAACTGAGCCAAGCAGTTATAGCTATTCAGCCCCATGGGATAGCCTGAAGTGCCCAGATTACCTAAATTACCTATCTCATAATTAAATCTGATTATTTTAACACTTAAGATAGCATTACTCAAAGTTAAATTATGGACCACCTGTAAGCTAAAAAGATTTCTGGGATCCTATTCAAATACACTGAGTTAGACTTTCTAGGGAGAGAGTATACAAATCTGCATTTTAAACCAATTCTCCAAGAGTTTCTTATGAACATTAAAGTTTCATGTTCACTGTCTTAGGAGACTTCTGAAAATGTCTGCATCCATATAGAAGTCCCAAATAAGAAAATTTGAAAGATCATATATTGTCAATTTAAAGAGTGTCCTAGAGGAAGTAAACCCTTCAAGACAGTGCAAAAATTTTTAATGTATGCGTTTTTTCTGCAGAATTAATCCAGAGCTAGACTGAAGATGAATGTTATTTTAGTTTAAATGATGACTTTTTTTCATCCTAAAAATTCTTTCTAGTATTCTAAGACTTCCAGGAAAGATGGTGGCATAGGTGTAGGTTTGCAGAAGAACATCCCTTCCTAAAACTAAACGAAATAAAAAAGTTAAAATATCCCTAAGCCAGGAAAAGATCTCAAACTTGTACCATGAAATTTTATTAAAAAGTATCATTCAAATACTGAATGAGTTAGTCTAAACTGGAAGACGAATCCCAGATTTCATATACAGCATGCCCTGAGAAATTTTCATTGGCACCCACCAATTTGGTAAATGGGAGTAGAGACACAGATAAGGGAAGAGGCGTGGAAAAAGAGTTGAAACTCCCCTTCCCCTGGTAGCCAAAGAGTACTTTATCAGGGCAGGAATATGTGACAAGTTTCTACATTTGTCCTTTATCCAAAAGGAAGGCTAAAGAAGAGTTAGAAAAAGCAGGACTAAGAAAGTTACAAAAAAATCAATCTCACTCCTAACCTCAGAAGCAGTAGAAGCACCACACAATGGGTACCTTCCCAGTCCCCGAGAATAACAGATTAGCTTATCCTGAAGTGGAGGAGGGGAAAAGTCAAAGGCCCCTTTCTACAAAATCATACAGAAGCTTCCATTAGGCTTCTCTATATGCCTAATATTTGGATGGCCTAATAAAACCATCCAAACTATACCCACGTATTCAAAAGATAGATGAAAAAACTGTTTGGAATTAATATTTATCACAAGAAGTAGAAAAGTTAAGAAAGAATTGCTTTACATTCTCAAGAAAACCAAAACTCTTATAATCAAAATAACACTGAAAAGAGTTAAGGAAAGAGAAAAATAGACAAGACAAATATAATAGCAGAATAAATAAATCAACAACAAAATAGTCAAAGCAGTAAAACCAAGTCATTAATAGAGAACAAAAAAGCAAAGAAGATATAAAGTACAGCAATCAAATGGTTAGAGAGAAGATGCCTGCTATGCACATCTAAGTTAGTTAACTGTTGTCTATGAGAAAGTCAACAGAATAAATAAGAGAAACTATAATAAAAGATATAACAGAAATTTTCTGACATGGAGACCTAAATTTGACCAAAAAGTTTTTCACTGTACTTCCAGAACAAAATTTAGTGCACTGTAAGACACACAGAGACTTATCCTTTGCTATATTAAAATAACTCACAAACAATGGTATCAAAAGATAAGAGATGGACAATAAATTCATTTAAGCACATAAATGTATGTGACAATTTATAATACTACGTGGTCTTAGAACAAATTTAATAGTTCTGAAAAAATTCTACAAAGTTATAAAGTGTGACAAAATAAGTCAGGACAGTATCTACATCACATAGTATTCTAACAAATATTGGGAGATGAAGAGCAGAAAAAAACAAAAGGAAATACATAATACTCTCATCTTTTATAGTAGGAAGTCACTTGATAAAAATTATGTCAGTATAGTCAGAAATCACATTGGTTCATCCCCAAATTCTCCTAACCTGTTATGTAGTTATTGCACTTGTAGGTAACAACAGCCAAACACAGCAAGCCATGAAAGAACAGTATGATGTCCACTCACCCCAAATTTCCTCTTGGCTCAATTTGGCTACATACGCAGTCTTAGAAGTGCTTATTGCAGGGTTCTCCCTGATCTTGATACATTCTTTCCTTGTCTCCATCTGCAGCCCTAACTCTTCTTTATACCTTCTTCCATCAGGCTACATACAGGCTACCTTCAATTTCTTCTTTTAAGCTGACTAACAATTTAATTGTTGGGTATATTTCACCAGCATTTTTGTTAATGCTATCATTTCAATTATTTTTTTAAATTGTGGTAAAGAACACATAACAGGCCGGCCGAATGGCGCGCTGGTTAAGAGTTGGCTTGGGACGCCAGCTCTGAGCAGCAGGGCCTTGGTTCGGATCCCACATGAGGGCTAGTGACGCTGCTCCCTCTACAGCTAAGATGGTGAACAACAGCTCGACCTGGAGCTGGGCTGCCTTGAGTCACCGTGAGCGGCTGTCCAACAGCCAGAGAGCGACTGCCTCACCCAGGAAAAGCGCAATGATAATACCAACACGGGGCCGGCGGAGTGGCACAATGGTTAAGAACTGGCTTGGGACGCCAGAGGGCCCCAGTTCGGATCCCACATATGGGCCAGTGAAGCAATGTCCTCCACAACTAGACTGAAGAACAAAAGGAGAGCAACTTGTCTGTTCCCCTTCCCCGATTCCCCAATGCTGTCCCCTCCTCCAATTCCCCAATAAAATTAAAAAAAAAAAAAAAGTCATGTATATGAGGCAGATTATAAAACTTACTTTCAAAAGATTACAATTGGGCCGGCCGAGTGGTGCAATGGTTGGGGGCTGGCTTGGGACGGCGGAGGACCCCGGTTCGGATCCCACGTATGAGGGCCAGTGACACTGCCCTCCACAGCTAAGATGCTGCACAACGGCTAGGCCTGGAGCTGGGCTGCTGTGAGTTGCCGGCAACGGCGTAGGCTGCAGCCCCTGTGGCAGTGGGTTGCCATGGGCGGCCATGTGTGGCCAGCAGCCAGTGTGAGCGGCCAGCAGCCGCAGTGAGCGGCCGTCCAGAGGCCGGCGACTGATGTGCCTCGCCTGGGAAGAGCGCAATGATGGTGCCAACTTGGGCCAGTGAAGCAGCGTCTTCCACAACTGGACTGAAGAACAAAACGACAGCAACTTGTCTGTTCCCCTTCCCCCAATTCCCCCGCACTGTTCCCATACCCCCAATTCCCCAATAAAGATCTTAAAAAAAAAAAAAGATTACAACTATCGAAAATAAAAAGATATGAGTGACATCATGAAGATGGCAGAGCAGAAACAACTATTAAGCTGGCAAGCATGGTCTGAATAAACCATTTTGGAACTATGGGGTCTAGTCAAACACTTGTAGCATCTGTGGGAGTACCTGGAGAGAGAGGCTGGAGACTTTTGGAGAATTTTGGCATTTTGCATAGTGGCTGGCTGTTACCATTCACCATCTCCTATCTCCAGGACAGGCAGCTATGAGGACAGTGTCTCATGTTCCCAGGTGCAGCTTGCTGGTGACAGGTGGGCAATAGGGACCTTGTCCTTCAAAAATCGGGGTTGCCTGACAATTCGCTAAGGGGCTTGCACACAGGATGGTCATTTTTTCAACCCTCAAGAGCAAAAGCAGCTTCCCCAGTGATGATGGTGAAGGCATTTGAAAGAGATAGAAAACCCTTTTTCTCCTCCACAGCAGCAGAATATACATTATTCTCAATTGCACATGAAACATTCTTCAGAATAGACCATATGTTAGGCCAAAACCAACTCTCAATAAATTGAAAAAGATTGAAATTTTACAAAGTAGCATCTCCAACCACAATGGAATGAAGCTAGAAATCAACAATAGAAGAAATATTGGAAAATTCGTAAGTACATGGAAATTAAAAGTACACTCTTAACCAACCAACAAGTTAAAGAAGAAATCACTAGGGAAATCGTGAAAAATTTTGAGACAAATGAAAAAGAAAACACAACATGCCAAAATTATGGGATGCAGAGAATGCCATACTCAAGAGGGAAACTTATATTTGTAAATGCTACATTAAAAAAAGTAAATCAACTTTACACCTTAAGAAATTAGAAAAAGAGCAAACCAAACCCAAAATCCAGAAGGAAATAATACAGATTAGAGCAGAGATAAGCAACATGAAGAATAGAAGAACTATCAACAAAAGTTGGTTTTTTGAAAAGATCAACAAAACTGACAAACCTTTAGCTAGATTGACTACGGATAAAAGTGAAAAGATGCAAATAACTAAAATCAGGGATGAAAACAAAGACACTACTACCAAACCTCATGGAAATTAAAAGGCTTATAAAATACTACTACAATTGTATGCCAACAAACTAGATAATCTAGATGAAATAGAAAACTTCCCAGAAACATACAAATTACCAAAAGTGACTCAAGAAGCAACAGAAAATTTCAACAGACCTATAACAAGAGACTACACCAGTAATCAAAAACCTCCAAAGAACCAGGACCAGATGGTTTAACTGGTGAATTTTAACA